AACAGTTAGTTGAACAAAAACATTGACTGAAACACAATAAATTCTCAAGTATACATACTTATATGGCAGTTTCTCAGCAATTTTGTAGACTTGGTTTGCCCATGGACCTCCTTTTCCGTCTCCTTTGCAGTCGTTTGAAACGCCGTATTTTTTGTACGATTCTCCGTTGCCGGCTGCACACCAGCCTCCGTTTTGAACTGCAAACACAGTAAATCCTCTTAGTTTAGCGGCCTCATAACACTTTTTAATAGCATCTGCACGATTTGTGTAATCCGAACCATCCAGAAGTGCTACTGAACCTTCTAAAGTCGCTACAGCTCTGTCAGCAGTGTCTTTCCAGCATCCCAAATTTCTTTGTTAGAAAGAAAAAACAATATAATGAAAAAGTGTGTGCATATATGTATATACCTATACCAAAAAAAAGTGCAAACACTAACATAAAACAAAACATCACACAACTATATTTAAATGCTGCGCTACACCGAAAAGACAAAATGCGATTACAACTAACTTGTGATCGTTAATAATATGGTTGAGAAAACAGCAGCTTTAAACAAACAACATTTTTGACTAATAGTGTCTTTGCAACTAGAATCACATCACAGTTTGACATAAATTTGAGCATTCATGCAAGAACGATCCAACTGCAATACCGCAGCTTTAGGATAATTTAAAAGGCATTGATTTTGACAAGAACGAACTCTGCTTTAAACTGTCGAGCCGAACTTAAAACAACAACAACAGCAACAAGCACATTCAAAAATATATTTTAACGTTCCCATCATTGTTCCTAACACGCAAACGATTTATATAAACAATTTCACTTGAAATTTTAAAAGAATTTTCGAATAGGATGTAAAGCACTTTGCATCATTCTTGCATGTACAGCAGACCAATTGTTGTGATGATTTATTGCGCTTAAAATGATCGTCTTATATCATATGTCATTTCAGTTTTTATTCAAACAGCTAAGACAAGCTATTGTTATAGATCAAACTGTAATTTATTAATTTTATAAAAATATGTTTTTATAAAATTAATCTTCAGTAACTTGCTGTTTTAGTAAATTATACAGTTATTAATTTATTTTTTATGATTTAAAAGTATTTGTTTTTTATTATAAATGTAAATTTTTTAAAAATAATTTGTTTGAATAATGAAATTAAAATTTTTAAAAAATAATTTGTTTGATTAATGTTACAAAATCATCGGTTTAATCTTGGAGGTTTGATAAACAGGAGACGCCGTAGTATAGACTTTATATAAATTGCTGTGATGCCTGTTTTGAAAGTCAGCTGCTATCTTGATTAACATTTTTATATTATGCATAGAGCGTAGAAAACTTTGCTGAAAGTCAAATCAGAATATTGATATTAATGATAGAATAATTATTGGTTTCAGTTCGTATCAAAATATAATACTGAATTTGAACAAATGAACATTCAGATAGTAAATACGGTTTTAGAAGATGTCATATTTTACACAGTGTAACATCTTATGGAAAACAAATAATGTTTGTGATTTTTTAATTAAATATTATGAAAATTTGATGTAAACATTAAAGATATTAAGATATTAAGATATTAAGAGGAATCAATTCAAAGATGTTAAACTTTTTAAACTACGCGAAGCATATTACAGTTATTGAAAAAACTTTTTTCTAAATAAATCATTTGGTTGAATCTTGTTGGACTTTTCAGGGCCAGATCCTGCATTATTTTTGTGGCCTTTTTTATGTGCCACAGCGTAAAAATGACTAAAAAAAAATACCGAATACTCCTCTTGACTATTTCCCCTGACATTGTGAGTCTTGGGGCTATAGCCCTACTACCCCCACCCCACCTTTTCAATCCAGCACTGGAAATAAGACATAAGCATATAAATAAAAATTGTATATACTTTTTGATAAATCGAAGAACATTTGTTTTTTTATAGTTGTTACTTAGTATAAAAAATGTCGCTTAATTTTATAAAAAAAATTATAAAAAAGCGACGTTTCAAAAATAATTGCTCTAATACATTTATTTTGCTTAAAGTTTTTTCACGTTAAAAGCTATTTTTCTTTTTTTAACTGTCTCTTATCGGTCCAGTTAATCTTATTGCGCTTTTTTGTTTGTTTTTGAAACGTTCTCAAAACGACTAAAAAATCTGGCCGGTTTTTCGCAACTAAATAATATTTCCGTGGTCAATTATCGAGTGCGACCGCTTCCCGACCAAGCCTGCTTAATTCATAGATAAATCATAGAATCAAGAGGTATAATACTTTTTAAATGCAAGAGGTTTAATACTTTTTAAACTTTTACCTACCAGACAAAAAAAGTTAAAGGAGCATATTGAAAGTACTGTTCTGTTGATTGGTAAAAAAAAAAAGTTAAAAAGGTGTTTGCAGAACACGTCAGGTGGAAAAAGTAAATAGTTTAAATAATAGCTTTCTGGGTAAATTTAAAAAGGTAATTGCTACCTTTTCCATTAACTTCAAATTAATGTGTGCATTTTGTTTCCTTTTGCAGATATGCCATAGTTCGTGTCACCAACAACACCAAATTAGTGTTATCATTCTTTATATTAAAATGCTGTGTTTTTATTATTATTTTAGTAAATGCTTTTATTTTTAAAATTAGTTTTTTTTCAATTTTATTTATTAATGTGCAAGATTTAATAAAATAAAGTTTTTAAACTTTTTCCTAACAAAAAAAGGCAATAAGATTGCATTTCTTTATTTAGTTTAATATCGCATATTATATTATAACATAAAAATATTTTGTTATAATTTATGTTATTTGATAATATAGTTGTATATAATAATAAAAATTTAGAGTCTGTAAGTTTAATTAAATAATAGTAATAAGTAAATATAACTCTTAATAATAACTTTGTAAATTATGCCTAAATACGTAATACTACAATTGTAAAGTGCCACTGTGATATCCTTGCATATTTTAAAGCAAACAAAGACTCTAAAAAGATTAACTTAATATATATATATATATATATATATATATATATATATATATATATATATATATATATATATATATATATATATATATATATATATATATATATATATTAGCATTTTTTTATATTTTTATTAAAAAGAGCATATTATCAGGGCTCGAAATAGCCGCCGGACCTCGGATATTGTCCGGCACTGGTCCGGTAAAAATCGTCATAAATCGGTCATTTTGTCCGACTAATGTTTTTTGTGAATTTTTCTTATAACTATTTTAGTTATTTAAAAGGTATTGAAATGTTCAATATATTATATATAAACTTTCTTTTTTATTTTTTTTTTTAACCAAAAATGTACAAGAAAACTTTCTTTCGTTTTTCCTTTTCATTTTTAAAATAGCGTCCCCGTAAATATTAATATTTTATTGAATAGCGTTAAATAGAGATAGTTGATACTAATATTCTAAAGTAAAAATGGTTAGCGCAATAGCAAACACAACTATTTATTATTATTTTAATAAAAACCGTTTCTATTCTTTTAGAAATGTTGTCGTTTTTTTCCGAAAAAGTCACAAGTTTTTAACTTGTAAATCTAACAATGAAAGTATAAAACTTTTTTTTTTGTAATACTTACATAATCTAATTAACACCGCAATACTAATGACTGCACATACCAGTAATATATAATAAATCGTATATTAGTTTTATAGTAAAAATATTTTTTGTTGAAATTTATCGGTCATGTCCGACAAGCGAAACAATTTATCAGACAAACTGTCCGGAACAAAAAAGTTCCATATTTTGAGCCCTGTATTATTTATGCTTATTAAAAAATGCTTTTTTGTTATATATATTTTTTTTCATTTATTTTATTTTGACCATAAGGTTTTGTGTTACTTCATTATTTATATTTAATTTGACTACTGTTAAAACATGGTTTTAATTTAGTAAACTTTCATGAATTGAAGTTTACTTTATTAATCATTAGCTAACAATTTAGGTAATAAAATTAAATTCAACCCATTAAGGTAAGAATAACTTTGTTTTCTAGTAACACCATTAATTTTTTCATGTATTTGTCATGGCAGCAATAGTTTATATTATACTTATAGTAAAATTAAGGTTATAATAAATTTTTGCTTGCTTTTAGATGACATCTAAATCATCTATAATCAATATAACCTAAAGTCTTTGGGTTATATTGATTATTTATTTAATCCAAATTATGTAACAAGTTCAGGTAAAATAAATCAACCCTGTGTTAAGTCCGACGGTGGGCCGAGCTTGGACCGAGCTTGTTACATCAGTTGAACATCGGCTACTCTGTTTTTAGCAAAACAATATCGGTTGAACGTCGGTTTTGTGTCTGTTGGTCGATGAATAGACAAATAGACATAGACATTCAGCCGATGTACAGTCGACGACCAGTCAATTTGGTTCTGTTTTTTATTTTAATGATGCATTATATAAAAAAAAGGTGCTATGACTCAAAATGATGTTTTGATTTTTCAAAAACAAAGACCAGATATATTACTGAATTGGGGAGAAATGTAGGAGAGTGCTTCTACATTGACTAATTTAGGGATAACATGCAAGAGAATGCTGCTACATCGACTAAGGGTTTGGGTTAAGACAGGTATAGATCAATCGATGTAGCAGCACTCTCCTACATTCCTCCTCAAATCAGTAATATATCTGGTCTTCGTTTTTAAAAAAAATCAAAACCTTATTTTGAGTCATAGTATATTTCGCTTACCAAAAAAACCGAATAATAAACTTTTTAAAAATTGCAGCAAAACTCATCTATCTGAAAGGCAAAGAACTATCAAAATTTTTAATGCATAGGAAAGTTAATTTGTTTACCTGTTAAATTAATGTTATTTAATAATGTTAATTGGTATTTATAAATAATGACTTTTTTTTTATTTACAAATAGTTATTTGAATAGTAATAAAAATTTATTAATCATTTAAGTTTAAGATATAAAAATATTAGATAATAATATCAATATACTAGGTAAACAGTAATTTGTTTTGATAACAGTTAAAAAATATTTAAACTGTGAGCACACAGTTTGTGATTTATGTTTGATTAAAAATTTATTCATTTTTAAGTTGAACATTAAATGATATAATTTAGTTCATTAACTCAAAACTTGTCAATTAAGTAAACAATGATAACTCTTTAACGATTGATTTTTTTAAATAACCTCATTAAATTTAAAGATTGAACATAAATTGTGAACATCGTTCAGATAGTAATGTTAAAGATGGAAAAGTTCAATTCAATACAAGGTAAGGTAGAAATATTTTTATATACTGGTAACATAAGTTTTAAGCAAAATAAGTTTAACTATTTTTTTATCATGCCATCTCATTTTTTTGCCTTGTTTATTTATATTGTATATTTGATATTTACAATAATAGTTTTTATTATGATCACAATATTATTATTATTACTATTTTAATACCTTTGCTAATTTTTTTACTTAAAGTTACGATAAATAAATAAAATAAAACAAACAAGCTGTGGTACACATTACAGTGTATAGAGTCTAACAACAATAGATGTCAGACTGTAGCAGCTTTTCACAGTTTTTTATGCAATCGTCATAAAGAGTTTTAAATGTATTTAAGTTTTTTGCATTCACAACTTCTTGTGATAGACGATTCATTTTGTCCATTTTTTTATTTATAAAAAAATTATGTCAGCCGTTTGTTTTTTTGCTTTGTTGTCTACATATTCTTTTATTGTGCCCTCTTGTAGTTGACTTTTTATAAATATAAGAGGATTGTGCCAATTAATTACATCTAAGTTATTCATAAACCTGTATAGTTGCACTATATTGGCTCTCGACCTTCTATTTTTTAATGTCGAAAGATTAATTTTGTTTAATCTATTTTCATATAGTAATTCTTTTAAACTGTGGATACGAGTTGTTCTTTGTTAGACTTGTTCAATCATATTGATATGTTTTTGTAAATGTGGGTTCCATCATGGTGATCAATATTCAAGTTGAGGTCTGACTAATGAAGTAAATAGTAATCTTTTTTTTTTTTTTTTATCTAAATATTCAAAAGAGTGTTTTTATTAGGCATAATTTTTGGTAAGTCTTATTGACTTACCAAAAATTATGCCTTATAAAATTCCAGTTAAGGTCATTTGATACATATATGCCAAGATCTTTTTCTAAAGTTGTTTTAGTTAGTTTAGTGGCATACACTTTATTTTTGGAATTGTCAAGTATTAAGTACTCATGTTTAGGATTAATTTTTCCAATATGCATAACCTTGTACTTGTCATAATTAAATATTATCAACTAGTTTTTTATTGTACAATTTTATTTAGATCTTCTTGTAAATTTATTGTACTGCTGTTATGATCTAGTATAGATATTAATTTTGTATCATCTGCATACAGTTTACCTTCATTTTTTATATTTAACATCATATCATTTATGTATAAAATAAATAATAATGGTCCAAGTACTGATCCCTGAGGAACACCACTTATATTATTTGTCCATTTAGAAATATTTTCTCCAAGTACAACTTGTTGTAACCAAATTTTTAGAAAAGCTCTGCAACAGATCAACAATAATACCATAACCAGCTAGTTTTATGCTCAATCTTTCATATGGCACAGTATCGAATGCTTTAACAAAATCTAGAAATATAATTTCAATTAGAATATTATTGTCAAATGCTTTACTGACAATATCTAATGTTTCTAGTAAATTTGTACAACAATTTTTTTTATTCATAAAACCATGTTGGTGCACTGAGATTAAATTACTATTGTTAAGATATTTCATTATTTCATCTCTGACAACACTTTCCATAACTTTGCATACAATCAATGTTAATGAAATTGGTCTGTAATTAGCTGATTCAAGTATGTCATCTTTCTTATGCAATGGTGTTATATTTGCATGTAACCATAAGTTTGGTAGAGTTGCATTTTCGAATGATTGATTAAACATAAACTCTAATGGTTTACATAAACATTGTGAGCATTCCTTTAAAACTCTTGGATGTACTTTATCAACCTTTATCACCTGTTGTTTTATTTGTGTTTAATTTGTTTATAATGAGTTTTGTTTCAATTATTAATTTCTCCAATTTTGGATATGGACAACTTAGAAAGGTTTTTTTTTAAATAATAGAATATTTTTGCTATTTTCTATTACAAATACTGAACTGAAAAATGTGTTTAATGTATTGCATATTGTTTTACCATTTGTTGTAACATCACCATTTATATCTCTTATGGCTCTAATAGTGTTTTTTTATTTTGGCTTTACTGTTTATATAAGAGTATATGCATTTAGTATTTGATTTTGATTGTTTTACAAAATTATGTTCATACTCTTTTTTAATATCTTTTTAATATCTTATTAAAGTTGTTGTAATTTATAACATCATCTATATTTTTAAAACCTGCAGCTTTAATTTTGTACCATAAGCTCCTTTTTAACTTTAATTTTAGGTCTTTAGTAAACCATAAAGATTTTATTTTTCTAATGTTTTGGTTGTTTTGTTGAGTTTTAGGGATGAACATTTTACAACCTTTTTCATATATTGTTAAGCATCTTAAAAAGCTTTCATCAACACTTAAGGTTTCAAACTCTTTTTCCCAGTTATGACTATTAAAGTATTTATTTAACTCTTTATATTTACCTTTGTTGAACAGATATTTTGTCTGATAGTCTTTGTTATTGGTAACTTTATCCATTAAACTATATTTAAAATTCAATACATGATGGCCATGTTCTAAATAACTAAAGAGTGGTGTATTTTATAACATTTCTTTTTCTTTCTTTTCTTTCATTTCTTCTATTTTTTTAGTATAATTAATTAATATAATTAATTATGTAAGAGATTTAATTTTTTTACTTAATTATGTAAGAGATTTGTGTCTTATTATAAGAAAAATTAAAAGAAATTGGTGTCTATTATAAGTTCAATTATATGTATAATTTTTTAGATAAAGAAATGTCGAAGAAATCAAAGCCAAATTATGAATTATCGAATTGATTTTTACAACAATCTATAAAGGTTTTTTCAGGTCCATTAGTAGTTAAGTTTTTCTTAGTTAGGATTTGATTTATTTGGAATGTGACCTTAATTATACATGTATTTTTTTTTTTTTTTAATATTTTTTTATATCTCTTTTTTATAATATGATTTTATTTTTTCATTTCTCTAGTGTTACTATTTTTGGATTCATTGCCAATCAATCAAGTAGTAATCAATTTAACTATTAACAAATAAACTACTTCAGGTATGTCTCCTTGTCAACAGTTTGTTGTATGATTATGTTAATTTTATGAAAAGTTTATTTCAACACAAGCTAAAGTAGAAGTAGTATTATTTACTGGTGACATTAGTTTTCAGCAAAATAAGTTTATATCATATATCAAAATATATTCTGTTACTTCTTTATTTATTGATAAAATATAATCTGTTATGGTGATAGTTTTTTTTTGCATGAATCTATTTTTAACACAGTAAAGTAAAATCTCTCTGAAGGAAAACTCTTATAATGGAGGTGTTATACTGTAGCTATGCCAATATTATCTATATTATATTCATATTTTTATTGATTTATAATTTTTTAGGGGCTGTAGATTTTGGTAATTCATATTTAGTTAGGTTTTGGTAATTCATATCTTGATTCTAAAAGCCTGAGTAAGTTTATTATAATTATTATTATTATTAATAATAGTATTGTTAAATAATATATATATATATATATATATATATATATATATATATATATATATATATATATATATATATATATATATATATATATATATATATACATATATATGTATATAATATAACCCAAGCTCCAGCTTACTTTATATAACATGTTAATTTTTATAGGGGCTGTTGAATGCAACGAAATAAACAATGCCAAAAATGCAAATGATTTTGGCGGTGTACATCCTGATTTAAAATGCCCAAGTACCTTTTTATTGAATTAGAAATATAATACTTTTCATATAATAAATTTAAATTAGTTTTTTCGTTCTCTGAAATTAAAAGTTGAAATTTAGTTACTATCTGGAAGTCCATACACTTGCAATCGGTATGTATACATTAGTATGTATACCTAGTCAGTAACCTATCTATGTTGTGACTTGTTAGATTGCTATTATTGATATGTGAAAATTTAATTTATATTTTTTTTTTTAGATGCTGCCCACAGTTATTTATCACAGTTAATTATCGGTTAATAAAAAACGTTGGAATTTCACTCGATTCAATTTATTTGATAATTCAACTGATTCAGAATAATTTATTTAAAAGAAATATATAATTTTATTTTATATTTGTGTTTTACATATACTTTAGTTGCTTAATCCTATTTTTCCAACAGTTTGAGCGGCCAGCCGATGTCGGGCCGACCTCGGTCCGTATGGACAAAAACGCCGTCGGTCCAATATCGGCAGTCGAGCTTGGCCCGACATCGGCTTTAACACAGGGAAGCACTAACTTAGAAAAGATAGCCTAAAGCAGAGTATGGTTCTTAACATGTGCAAAATTTCATGGCTCCAAAAAAAGGAGAGATAAAAATTTTTTATTACAATAAAAACAAGTTTTTTTAATTAGTTTTTGCAGTAAACTCCACCATCTTTCAGTTTTGAAAAAAGTTACACATAATACCAAGGACATGATAATAATCATAAAAGAACTTTTTTTATTTGTATAAATTATATAATATTTTTAATGAATCAATACTAATTTATGTAGATCAAAAGAAATAGCAAAAATAGAAATTTAAAAAAATAATAAAAAATGCGTCAATTTGAAGAAAAAAACAAATTTAATGTGGTAATATCTTTAAAATAGACTAATATAATTATGATATGTTGGATTAATAATTATATTAATTATATTTTTACTTTTATTCAAAATCGGTATCATATATCTTAAATTGTACGATTTTTTTTTTTTTTTAAGTTGATTAAGGTACCCCAAGAAGTCCTTACGGTCTTATCACACAGCACCGCGGATTTTAACCTCCATTTAACCGGAAGTTCACGCCTCCTTCCCAACCGATGTCGCAAAACTTGCCCAGAGGTGGGGTTTGAACCAGGGATCTTACGTTTCTGAGGCAAGTGCGCTACCACTGCGCCACGGCTGCTCAAATTCACTATAGGGGTGGTAGATTATTCCATCCCATTGCGTATTAATCACATTTATTTGATTAATGGGAATGAAAAGTTTGTAAACGACTTTTAAAAGACCATTATCTTTACTAAATAAACATGGAAACAAAAAAAAAGTTATAAAATTAGTTTTAATTTGATGTTTTGCACATTGGGATGGAATAATTTATTACTAAAGTAGATTATTCTATCCGCCTGATTTATTCTATACCACTGCGTAAAAAACGGAACTATTTTCTAACTATGTTCGGTCATTTATCACGGCTACTTAAAAAATTTTTAAGTTATACGCAATGGGATGGAGAGAGCAAGCAAGAGAGAGCAGCAAGTGAAAAAATAAAATTATTTTAGTCCGCTTAACTGTAGATTTACCTTTAAATACACACAAAATTTTTGTGTACATTTAAATTCTTATATGAATTTAAATTTTTTTTTAGGTTACAGACTTGCATGGAAACTCTTTTTTTTTGGCTACAGACTCGCTTTTTGCCCTTTTTACAAATGGCGGATTAAATTTGTAAACAAATATTTTTAACTTCTCTTTTCTTAAATGATGTAAATATATTTAAAATTTAAGTACTAGTTATGTAATAGTGTTAAACGGAGATTATAATACTTGTAAAATAATATTTTATGATTCCTTATCTTATTTTCGATTAAAAAGAGATTAAAGTTTTAAAAAGAAAAGTAAAACGACAGACACTTTTATGAATTAAAATATTTTTTAATAAACATAGGCTCGTAAAAAAACTTCTATAAGTATTTTATAATTGCTAAAATTTGTTTTTGAATTATCTTTGATTTATTAGTAACTTTTGACTTGCATTTTTAACTTTTATTCCACACTCCGGCTTCAGCTTTGCCCTTTATACAAATGGCGGACTATTGTTATAAACAAAAAAAAGCGGCTTCACTTTTTGTCCAATAAAATCCTACAAGTTATACATCTAGTTATGTAATACATCATTGATAAAAATAAGAATGGTCAAAAAATCTGATTGACCAGGTTTTATATACCCAATTGTTTGTAATGTTTTGCGAAACCAAGTCAGACACGCATTATTAACAAACATGACAGAAAAAAAACAAGGTTGACATTATCTTAATCTTTGCAATTTTATAATTGCAAAGATATTATATAATTTCTATATATAGAAATTTAAAATAAAAAGTTTTTTAGAGTAAATAATTGTTTGATGACACAATCATCTAACTAACTTAATTTATTTTTTAACTTAATATTGATAAATGACAATGGTGCTTACTTATGTGAAGTCAAGATCGCAATCAAAATCACAAATGGGATTTTAAATATCATTAAAAATAACTTACTGAAATAATGAAGTTGGTTTAATTTTGTAAACATCGTTAGCCCAAGGACCTCCTTTTCCATCTCCTTTACAATTGTAAGAACCTCCATATTTTTTGTATGCAACACCATTGCCAGCTGCACACCACCCACCATCTTGTACTGCAAAGTACTCAAAATTGAGCTGCTTCGCTGCTATGTAACATTTTTCAATTGCGTCTGCGCGATTCTTATAAAAACCATCTAAAATAGTTACTAAACCTTCTAAAGTTGCAACAGCTCTGTCAGCAGAATCTTTCCAGCAGCCAACATGACTATGTTAAAGAAAAACTTGTTAGAATATAAAGTATGCACACCGTGCACTATTAATACTAAAAATATTCTCAAATTTTATTTCAATAACCAAAATAACAATACATAAAGTATATACTAACTTAAACGGTAAATTCTCAGTAATTTTATATACTTGATTTGCCCAAGGACCTCCCTTTCCGTCTTCTTTACAGTCGTTTGATGATCCATATTTTTTGTAAGATTCTCCGTTATTAGCTGCGCACCAACCACCATCCTGAATTGCAAATATTAAAAACCCTCGTTGTTTAGAAACTTCGTAACACTTTTTAATAGCATTAGCACGATTTTTGTAGGGACCATCAAGTATTGTTGTAAAACCTTCCAAAGTTGTTACTGCTCTGTCTGCCGTGTCTTTCCAACAACCAAGGTTTTCATAGTGCGCGTTTGCTGTTATAAAATGAAAAAAACCATATATCCACAGGCGCATCCACATAATGAAATTTCAAGTGATTTGAATTTAGAAACAACTATTTGGATTAAAGTAGTTCGTAAATAGTTTAAAAAAACTTCTTCTTTTAAACTTAACTATATATACTCTCTTATTTAAATGTTTTTGCTCAAATAAGACAGTATAAACAATCGATCCGAAATACGAAAGAGTATAAAACAAATAAAATACATAATTTCATATGTTTTATACTCTTTCGTATTTCACTTGCGTAAATTCTATAAATACGTAATCGTGTAATCCCATGCGTAAATCGTGTAAAAAACATGCGTATTCGTGTTTACAAGTTAAATAAATGTAATCATATTTACACGATTATGATAAAAAAATTTAGTTTATTCGAAAAATTTACTTCAGTTTGTGTTTAGTTTCATTAGAAGTTCATTAAACATTACATAACTTTAATTTAAAATCATAACAAGGTCAACTTTAAATCAGAAATTGTAAATTTTTTTGAAAAAAAAATTTTTTTTTCAAAGATAATTAAAAAAAAAGATTTTATCATGCTAAGCCTTTTTTAATTGAAATGACAATATTTAACAAAATTCTCATTAGGCTGGGTGAGTGATTACTAAGAAAATTTCCTAATAAAAATTTAATCGTAACTCCTGAAGTTTTTATTAACGTAAAGCTGACCAATTACTGAGTAAAAGTAATTGCTCATTTTAATTCATCAGGCCTATTGTCTTTAATATAGTGTATTTTATTTTAAACTCATACATCTGCAATTTTTTTTTCACAATTTGTATTTATTCAAAGTTAAAATAAATACAACTTGCGTAATGAAACTTTATTCTTCTACCAGTTTTTAAAACTAATTTTGGAAAACTTTGTATTTCATTTAGCGGAGCAATTTTATTGAACAAAAGGACGAAAAGTTTTAAAACTTTTTCTCAAGAATGTTTATTTTTCTTATTTAAAATTGAAAAACATTCGTTTATAATTTTTTTTTTTTTTACTTTTTTCTGTTTTAATATAACATAAGAATTTTACAACTTCGTGCTTCATAAAAAAAAAAGTGAGTAAAAACAAATAGGAGCTCAAAGACGATTAGGATGACAGTACGTCCTCGCAATCTTTTCATAGAGCCCCTTTAACAAAATTTCAATGAAATATCGTAATACGTAATACGTAATAAAATTTCGTAAAATATATACGTAATAAAATTTCAATTAAATATCGTAATAAAATGTGTAATTCGCTAATAAGATTGTTAAACAACAACAACAACAACAACAACAACAACAACAACAACAACAACAACAACAACAACAACAACAACAACAACAACAACAACAACAACAACAACAACAACAACAACAACAATAACAACAACAACAACAACAACAACAACAACAACAACAACAACAACAACAACAACAACAACAACAACAAAAAAGTAGAGTGTAACATTAATCAAAAACGTTTCTCAAATTTTGAAATTTTTTTTTTTGTTACAAAACTTGAATGAACTTAACGAATTTACTGTACCTAAGAATCCTTTTTGAAAGGTACCCCATACTTTTGGACCTCGATATAAAATGCTATATTCTGAATATTTATTTATAATTCGAGGCAGTTTTATTATTATTACTCTTAAGAAATCTTTTTTTGTAGTTGTATGTAGTAAACTTTTTGTATATAGTAAACTTTTTGTATATAGTAAACTTTTTGTATATAGTAAACTTTTTGTATATAGTAAACTTTTTGTATATAGTAAACTTTTTGTATATAGTAAACTTTTTGTATATAGTAAACTTTTTGTATATAGTAAACTTTTTGTATATAGTAAACTTTTTGTATATAGTAAACTTTTTGTATGTAGTAAACTTTTTGTATATAGTAAACTTTTTGTATATAGTAAACTTTTTGTATATAGTAAACTTTTTGTATATAGTAAACTTTTTGTATATAGTAAACTTTTTGTATATAGTAAACTTTTTGTATATAGTAAACTTTTTGTATATAGTAAACTTTTTGTATATAGTAAACTTTTTGTATATAGTAAACTTTTTGTATATAGTAAACTTTTTGTATATAGTAAAC